TGGGGGGTGGGGCTGGGAACCTACTTTCAACTGCTCCCCCAGTGATTCTCACAAAGGGGTGGGTTTAGAAGTGAGGCCAGGGGATGGGGAGCATGGAGGGGCAGATTGCCCAGTAGGTGGTCTCTGAAGGTCCCTCAACCCTGCTGCACAGGTGCCACCATCTTGCCTAAACCAGGTCTGGAGGCCACCTCATTGGGTTTCTGGTCCCCCTCAAAGACTTCTCCCGCTCCCCACTATCCCCCTGCCAAGGCCACTTTCCTTTTTTTTTTTTTTTTTTTTTTTTTGAGTTTTTTGCTATAGGGCACATATGCTCGCCAGAAAGAGAGAGAGAGACAGAGAGACAGGGAGATACAAAGCTAGTAGAAATCACCCCCCAGGGGGATGGCCACAACGCAATCCCTTCTCCTCCATTCTCCTCTCGGCATCTTGGGCACGCATGAACACGCACCCAGCGTGAGTTTAAGCCACAGAGTCCGGCACTCGAACCGTGGTCAAATACACGGGAGTCCAGCGACATAGCCATTACGCTAACTGCTGGTCCCTTTCCTTCACCTCTCCTCCCGACCGAGCCACCCAGTCAGGTTGTTGTCTTGCAGGTGGAAAGGCCGAGGGGGCGGGGCCTGCCTCGCTCCAGAAGGGACAGCTCTTTCCCATCACGCCCCAAAGACCAGGGCGCCGCAGCTCTAGCCGCTGGGCACTGCTCCCATCGAAGGCCTTTCCTTGAAGCCCTGGACGCCTTGGTGGGGATCGTAGAAACAGGAGAAAGTACCTGAACGGACATCGAGGCCTGCTCACCCTCTTCCTCGGGTCAGTTCCTGGGTTTGCTTTATCGCAGGGTCCTATTAGCGCGCAGACCCTCCAGGGGACGAGGTGCGTGTCCCGCGCGCAGGAGCTCAGGGTGCTCAGGCGCGGGAGCCTACCTCTTGCCTCCTGCCCCGACCCCACAGCACCACCTGGTGTCGCGCACTGCACTTGCTGAACACTCTCCCTGCCCGCAGGACCCTCCTTCCCCGAGTGCGCGGCGCTTCTGGGCGCCCCACCCTCCTGCTGCGCCCTTCCGCCTCGCCATTCTCTTCACTGCCCAGAGGGTGCTTCCTGGCCTGGCTGCGTTCAGCTCACTGCCCTCCATCTTTGCCCGGTGTCCCTCGTAGGAGGTGCATCCCGGCCTTTCCCCCAGTGGGGCTGGCCTGGAAACCCCGGGTCAGGATTGCTAGCGGAGCAGAGGCCAGGACGGCGGTGTTTGGCCGGGACGGAAAGGCCTGCTCCAGCAGCCAGCAGAGGGCAGCCTATTTCCAGCTTTGGCCGGAAGGCTCCACGCTGGCCACTCCTCTGGGCCCCGCCCAGACAACGGGAGGCTCCACCTGCTGGTGGAACCCCCACTCCACTCCCCCACCCCGCTGGCTGCACGGACCTGTCACCCAGAACCTCCGTGAGCCATGCTCCTGGCCGGAACTGGAGGGGTTATTAAGTTGAATGACCTTGACCCAACTTGGGGATCTCAGCCACTACCCTTCTAGGCTGGTGTTCTCCTTGGACTTCAGCTATGTCCCTGTCACCTCTGCATCATCCATGGGTCTTCTGCAGTACAGGTCCTTGTCCTGGAGTCGGGGAGGGAGATCTGCTACTCCAGGGAGTAGCGCACGAGACCTCGTTAAAGCATCCACGTACTGTGAGCAAACTCAGAATGTGGGCGCACCTTCAAAAAAGGCTGAAGCAGGGAAGCCCCAAAGCATCTGCCAGGTGTCTCTAAGATTAGGGACACTGCAGCCCTTTAGACGCAGAGTTCCCTAAAGTCTGGGGACGGTGAGCTTGAGCTGGGCGACCACCTCCACCCAGCCCCCTTCCACTCCGGCCTCCTCCCCTCCTGGGCAGAAGTGAGCACTCTGGATTTGAACAGAACTTCCCCTGGCCGAGTTTCTCTCACACAGGGGCTTTCCAGGCTGGACAAGTGCCTAGCATAGTTCTGGGACCTGGCCGAGCCCCTCAAATCCCCAAGTCTACACAGTTCCCAGATGTGGGGGTGGAGGCCAGATGGGACAAGGCAGTGGGATTTGGTTGGCAGGTCACTTGGGGCTATGTTGTTCAGTTAGAGCTGATCCTGAGGGCCAGCTACAGGCTTGGTGGGTAAGGCATCTGGATTCCATATGGCCAATTTGGAGGTTCAAGTCCCAGACCTGGCAGCTCACAAGACATGCCAGGGGACAAGCAATTAGCGTAATGGCCATGTCGCTGGAGTCCCATGTAGTCGACCGTAGTTCGAGTTCCGAATCCAGTGGCTTAAACTCACACCAGGCGCGTGTGCGTGTGTGCCCAAGATCCCGAGAGAAGAACAGAGGGGAAGGGATTGCGGTGTGGCCATCCCCCCTGGGGGGTGACTTCTTGCTTTCTGTCTCTCTCTATCTTTCTGGCAAGCACATGTGCCCTATAGCAAAAAACCTCTCCAAAAAAAGAAAGAAAAAAAGACACGCCAGGTCCGATGTCCATGAGTGCCTAAAATCCTGAGAGGAGAATTGGAGGAGAAGGGACTGTGACGTGGCCATGCCCCTGGGAAGTGATTTCTCTCTCTCTCTGCCAAAGCCTTATAGCATTCAATTAAAAAAAAAAAAAAAGAAGAAGAAGAAGAAGAACTGATACTGAAAGCAGTCTTGAGAAAAGCAGGGTCAAACCTGCTTAGTTCCCACTGGGCCTTGTGCTAACCCCATGCTCCCACTGAGACCCCGCCCAGCCCCAGGGAGTGGCAAACACGCTAAGTCACAGGCAAGGACGCAAGGTTCTGTCCTACAGGACTTTATTGACCAGATGAGAAGTCAGCTCGGCAGGGCCTGTGGCCCTTTCAGGTGACAGCTCGGCAGTGCTGTCCTTTCAGTCACCAGGAGCAGTGAGGCCTCCACTCCCCGTTCTTCCTCTGCTCCTGACCTGAGGCCTGGAAGGGATGGGGTGAGTGGCCAGAGACGAGTAGGGAGAAACTGGCGGGGTCTGAGGACTGGGTGCAGAGAGAAGGGTGTCCGGATGAGGCTGGGGTGTCTTCCTCCCTCTGCACCCCAGGGTAAGCAGGCGTGGCGAGAGCAGGGCACTGGTGTGGGCTGAGCTGGGATGTGGAGGAGCCTCCGACCCCAGGGTTAGGATGGGTGCTCACTACCCTAGGGTTCAGGCCCTGAGAAACGTGAATATGTGCTAGCGGTGATTCAGGACGACCCTCAACAAACAGGCAACTCCATGCCCAAGGTCAGGTGGTGTCCGGACACTGGGGAGCCTTGGTCTTGGGTTATTCTCCTCCAGCCTCAAATGGGAGGGCACCAGTTCCACAGAGACTCAAAGGCAGGCGACCTAGCGAGGCAGGTGGCTCTTCTTTGGCGTGACTCTGTCTGCACACCTCTCCGCCTCCCCAGATGACTCCTGGAGCTGGGACGTCTCAGGTGTCTTCTGAGGGATGCCAAGAAACCCACTCCCTTTCCCACAGAGGAGAGCCTCGGGGTCGACAAACCACAGCCTCCTGCCCATCTCGGTCCTGCCCCCCGACCACAGGCCTGCGCTGCTATCGCCCTGGGCTGAGGTGTCTTGTCCCGGGATGAGGACTCTTAGCTCGGAGGACAAGGCAGAGGTGGTGGTGGTGGTTGGGACTGGCCCATCTCGGTCCTGCCCCCCGACCACAGGCCTGCGCTGCTATCGCCCTGGGCTGAGGTGTCTTGTCCCGGATGAGGACTCTTAGCTGGGAGGCCAAGGCAGAGGTGGTGGTGGTGGTGGGGACTGGCCACACCTTAGTGAAAACTCTGGGACCTCCAACAGGTGGGGGTGTCGGGTACCAGGCAGGGGGAGCCTTCTAGTGGATGGAGCCTCAGGCAGACTCCCAGACCACAGGGAGCCAGACCCCAAGTTCAAGTCATTAGTGCTGTGTGGCAGGGCAGAGAGAGCGAGCGAGAGAACCCTGAGGTCTCTGAGGCTGCTGGGAAGGCGAGGGAAGGGCACAGGCGTGGGCAGGGCATAGCCAGGCCGCCTCACTCGGAGTGGACCAAAGCCCCAGCTCCTTGCCCAAAGCCAAAGCCCTTGGGTCCGAAGTTCTTCGCATAGCATCCTGCAGAGAGAGCAGAGGGGTGAGGGTGTGCACCCACCCTAAGCCATACCTCCGCCCAGCTCCCCAAGATGCCTCACCCCTGTGCCTGGCAGACCTCTGGAAAAGGAAACTACACCAGCACCTCCTCACCTCCATAGTACTCCCATCTCAATGAACCTTCTCCCTGCCACTGAAATTCTGGGAGCAGCAGTAGGAGTTAGAGGCCCAGGTTCTAGTCCTCACCTGGCCCCAACTTGCCACATGGCTCCGGTGGAGCTTTCTGACCCTGGGCCTGTGTGCTCATCTGGAAAATGCAGGACATACGAGGTGTTCCTGGACTTCGAGGTCGGGGTTAGTTTACAGCCAGCAGGGGAAAACTGCTAAGCCCCTCGCCCCCTCGGGCCTCCTGATCTTCATTCAGAAATGAACCCACTGTGGGTGGTGTGGCGGTTAAGTCACTGGACTCCCACATGGCTGAATGAGGTTTGAGTCCCGGACCTAGTAGCTTGCTCTCTCTTTGTATCTCTCTCTGGTGAGCATACGTGCCTTATAGCAAATTAAAAATAGTAATAATAACAGATAAAAATATATTTTTTAATAGAGTTTTAAAAAATTTTGTCTTAGGGTATGTATGCTTTCAGAGACAGGGAGAGAGAGACACAGAGACAGTGAGAGGGAGAGTGAGAAATCACCTCCCAGAAGGGATGGCCATGCTGCAATTCCTTCTCCTCCACTCTCCTCCCGGGATCTCGGGCATGCACACACATGCTTCTGGTGTGTTTCAAGCTACTGGGCCTGGGACTTGAACCATGGTCGACCATATGAGAGTCTAGTAACATAACTACTCTGCCATTTGCTTGCCCCTAAATAAATAATTCTTGAAAAGAAAAAAAAGCACCCACCTTTGCAGTAGATCTCTCCATCCTTGTCGGCCAGGGTGGTTGACTCCAGGCCTTTGCCGCACTTGGCACATCGGAAGCAGCTCTTGTGCCAGGACTAGGTAAGGAAGGAGACTGAGCTGCCACCAGCCACCAGCCTACCCCGCTCGCAGTCCCCTCCCCTTGGCACAGCCGTGTGGGAGGGCTCAGCTGCTCTGCAGGCTGGCCAGCTGGGGCTGCTGAGGACCCGGCCCACGTGCTGCCCATGGAGGTGGCAGGGAGACCCACTCCCCTCGCACCATCTTCGCCAAATGCCCAGTGGCACCAACTACACCATGGACGCCAGGGACGGGGTGATCACTGCCAAGGTAGCTGTCCCCCACAGGCAGGGCCAGGCAAGTCTTCTCCAGACCCACTCTGCCTGTGGACAGCAGAGTGAGCGAGAGCCTCGGACCCATCTTCATGCCACCACTTCCTAGTCAAACAGCCTCCAGGATTTCCACATCCGGTACCTCCCTACTTACCTTGCAGAGGGACATGAGGACTGGATATTTAAACCTAAAATGCTGGCCACAGAGGCGGCACCTGTCACCAGGATTCTCTGAGGTTTCATACCTGGGAGCGTCACTTGTCCAAAGACCATCCCCTCTGGGCAAGTGGGGCGGCAGTTTCTCCCTCATAGGCAGCTGGGGCATTCAGGGACTTCACCAGTGTAAACGCCTGGCCCAGGCCTGGCCCAGAGGAGGCCTGAGTAGCGCTGTCCAGTTTTACTCTGGAAGGAGGCTGGCTCTGCAAAATGTCTGCTCTCAGCCGACAAGGCTAGGAGAGTGGTTTCTTCTGAGACCACAGAGGCCCTCTAAGGGGGCCCACAGGTAGCACAGGTAGACAGCCTCCCAGAGGAGAAGTGAGGCCCAGGTGTGCGCTGCTGGGGACTGGCCCAGACACAAGGCCAGCAGCCAGCTCCCATGAGCTGCAGCGGAGCAGGAGAGGGGCTGATACGTGGATGGCTCTGCTGAGCCTAGGGACAGCAGGTGGCAGGGAGCAGGCAGGACTAAATGAGGCCTTCTAAAGGTGAAGTGCCTCCCTCAGCCCAGCAGCCTGGTGCCCAGGTGCTGCCCGGTGCCAGGCTGGAGGCAACAGAAGAAGCTGGATCCCCTAGGACTTTCTGGCCTCCTGAGTCCGAATGGGCTCCCACTGCTGTGCCTGAGGGGTGGGGGAGCACCCAGAGAGCCAGATGGGGCCCTGGGTCTCAGACCTGCCCCCAGCGCCCTGTGCAGTGTCAACAGTCACTGCCTTTGTAAGGCAGGGGTTGCCACTCCAAGCTCTCCAGGCTGGCCAAGACCACTACCCCGCCTCACAGCACCCACCCCAGTAAACTCAGTCCCCTGCTCATTCACAGGGCACCTCAGAGTACTTCCTGCTCCTCAAATGTTGGTGACAGAGTCAAGGTATTGCTTACATGGCTTAAAATATTGCCTCTTTCATCATTAAAGTAAATGTTAAATTTTAATTTGTGATTAAAGAAAGTTTCTTTTCTTTCTTTTTCTTTTTTTGGAGAGATTTTTGCTCTTGGGCGCGTGCGCTCGCCAGACAGACAGAGAGAGACAGAGAGACAGAAAGCGAGAAATCACCCCCCAGTGGGGATGGCCACACTACAATCCCTTCTCCTCCAATCTCCTCTCGGGATCTTGGGCACGCACGCACACGCGCCCGGCGTGAGTTTAAGCTGCTGGGTCCGGGATTCAAATCGCGGTCGACTACATGGGAGTCCAGCGACATAGCCATTATGCTAACTGCTGGTCCCCCTTTTTTTAATTATTAAAGTTTACTTATTTACTTCTTCTATAAACTAGAGAAAGAGACAGAGAAACCACCCTCAGTGGGGTCTCCAAGGGGTGATGCACCGCAGCCTCAGTCGGCCCTGGATCATGGGTGTGCCTGCCCTGGCATACTCAGGGAGGTCTCTGGAAGTGAACCGAAACCTTCCCATGTGAGTCAGCCTTGAAGAGCATCATGTTTTATTTTGTTTTTAAGAATTATTTTATTTAACTTTATTTATTGTTACTAATCTGGCCAGAAAGAGACAGAGAGAGAAAGTGAGAAAGCCAACCACGAGGTTTGGGACTTGAACCGTGATTGGCCATATGGGAGTCCAGCACCTGCAACCACCACGCCAGACTGCTGGCCCAGAGCTTCATTTTTTACCACTGTCAGCCCCACACCCAAATTTCTTTCTTGGCCCAGCAAAAGAGAGTGGGGGCTTCTACCTCTCTTGCTTGAATGCAAAATTCTCTTACTCTTCTTCATACAGCCTTAACTGACCGTATACGCAAAATAATACAAACAGCCATTTTTAGGTACTTTCATATAATTTTCTATTTGCACAGTGAGACAAAGCAAAAAATCCAACCTAATAATATGAATGTCTCTTGGTGTTGTTTTATTTAATCAATGGCAAGGACTGTTATTTTGACCTCTCAAGAGTCCCCGAAGGAAACAGCAGTAACAATAGCGACCTGCACCCGGCGCACACCAGGCGCTGCCCTGCAGGACACATGTATGATCTCGTTTGCCCTCCACAGTCACCTGGTCTGTCAGGGCTGTCATTTGCCCACTCCGCACTGTTCCAACACCTGGTCCTCTTTACAGATGCAGAACAGACGCTCAGGGAGGCTCACCGTGCCCAAGGGTCCACGCTAGTACATGGCACAGCTGGGACGAGCTCTTACTCGCTGTGCCAGGGTAACAATCCCCCCATTTTCCAGCTGCCCAACGGTCTGTCCAAAGGGTTAAATGGCAACAGTGAGAACAAGGGCTTGGGTCACACTGACCGGGCTTGGTGACCTCCAAGTAGGAGACCTAGGCAAAGTATTGAATCCTCCTGACTCTCGGGGTCTTCATCTGTAAAATGGGGTAATAACACCCACCTCCAACCCTGATTCTGAGGACTGAGAGCCTACCACGTAGACTGGCTTCTCTTAGCTCCATCCCTTTCCCTCTGATCCCTATCCTCAAGGTCAAGACTCCAGCTTTTTTTTTTTTTTTTTGAGAGGTTTTTGCTACAGGGCGCATGCGCTCGCCAGACAGAGAGAGACAAAGAGACAGAAAGCGAGAAATCACCCCCCACAGGGGGGATGGCCACGCCACAATCCTTCCTCCTCCATTCTCCTCTCGGGATCTTGGGCACGCACACGCGCCCAGTGTGAGTTTTAAGCTACCGGATCCGAGACAGGAACTGCGGTCGACTACATGGGAGTCCAGCGACATAGCCATTATGCTAACTGCTGGTCCCCCAAGACTTGAGTTTTGAAGTCCACTCAGGTCCAGCTGTGAGATGCCCCATACCAGGAAGTAAATAAATAAACCTTTTTAAAAACAGAAATTTGAGGAGCAGGGGATGCTGTTCCCTAAGCCTGTCGTTGGATCTTGACCGAGTCATCCCCTATCCCAGGACTCCCTGAGGATCCAGAAATCCTCTCTGGCCATGGAGAGTGGTTTCCTCTTTTGTGATTTTTCGGACTGCTAGGCTGAGACAAAAAAGCCTGGGGCGAGGGTTCTCCTGCCTCCTGCCCACTGCTGCCTGTCTGAGGGGTGTCTGCCCTCCCCACCATGGGGATTCTGACTTGGCTGGGGGGTATATCAGACTATGCTGGAAACAGAAAAGGCCTCCCAGGAGGCTCCGGTAAGCCCTGACCTTGAAACCTCTGCCCTGGAGAAACATGGATGGGCTTCTGGGAGTCTAAGCCCCACAGAATGTATGTTTTTGGGTGGTTCTTAGCATTTTGCAGATCGCAAATCCTCTTGAAAATCTGAGAGGAACTGTGGATTTTCCATACATAGACACGTTCCTATAAAACTGCGTATAGCTGTAGAGAGCTCATGGACCCTCTGAAACCCACCTGTGCACCCTTAGACTCTGGTCCCCGACACCAGAAACAGGCCAACCTTCGGTTCCTCCCTGTGCGTGGCCTGTGGTGACCTAGCTACCTGAGGAAGTTACTGTGATGGGCTCCCTGCAGATAAGCAACCCAGGAACAAAGGGCCCCTCCCTCCCTAGAAGGGGTGAAGCCCAGCACTGGGGCTGCCCTGAGCAGAGCTAAGGCACCATTTGCAACAATGTGGGATCCACACTTCAGGGAGGTGCCTGCCTCCAACTCCCCAGCCCCTTCACACACACACACACACACACACACACACACACTCACACTCACACCCCCCACTCCACTGCCGTACCTTTCCAGCACCGATCACCTTCTCTGCAGCATAGACCGCCTGGCTGCACCGGGGGCAGCGCTCAGAGCCCCCAATCTTCTGTGCAAACTTGGACGCGTTGGGGTTTGTGGTGGGCCTGTGGCCAGGGGCCCTGCAGGGGCAAGGACACACAGTGAGATGTCTTACACACAAATATGGCGGGACTGGCACTGCCAGGGCAGACCCCTCTTTCAGCTCCCGCCATGGCAGCAGGCAATCGCTCAGCCAGAGCCACACAGGCCAGGGCTGCCGGGCCTCTAGGGGCATCTCCCATTTTATGGATGACATACCAAGGCTCAGTACAATGTTATTTTCATCGACACTTCCCTCAGTCACCCAGTTAAAACCCTGAATTCACTCAGCACCTCATTTGCTAAGAACTCCCCTCGTCTGCCCCCCATTCCTGCAGCTGGTCTATTTTAACATTCCTTCCAGGAGAAATCTGCTGACAGATCATTTCTGCAAGGCAGTGACCTCGGCCGAAACTTTGTAACTCATCGATCATTTCACTCCATCCCTCCAAGGCTGAGGGGTGGGTCAGGCTGACTGCCAACAGCCACCATTCACCAGCAGGTCAGAGGTTGGGGGTGCTGGGAGGGGGTCGGGGAGACCCAGTGACACCCTGCAGCATTTCCAAGGAAGGGGATGATTTCCTCTGGCAGGGGTGAGAGATGGCGGGGAGGGGGCTGGTGTGGCAATGGCTCAGATGTCAGCCGAGCCAAGCTGTGGGACCCCTAGCAAATAATGAGTGAGGCTGGCTTTTCTCATTTACTAAAAGAGAAAAATGAACTGTGTTATCATCGGGATCCCTCCCAGCTCTGGCCCTAACACAAACATGGGGTGCACGCTCCAGGGGGGAAGTCT